GTAAAATGCAATGACTATGAGAATACATTAAGAGAAAGAAATAATCACCATACAAATACAAATTATTATTGATTTTGAAGCATCTTTCTGGAGATCTTGAATTTTGTGATTAAATCATTATTGCAAATGAAAACTGACTGAAGATCCCTCTTTTCATACTGTCATTCATTATTCACATGAACTTCGGCAGTACTACTTAGTACTGGGCATGGCATATTTAAGCATAAATCTATCTTTCAACACAGGCTTATAGAGAAAAGACAATGGAAATAGGACTCTGCCCAAACCTGGATGCTCACTTTGGTATCGTAATTATTCCTGGGTAGTTTTCCACTCTTTCAGAGAGCTGACACCTTCTTTGAATATTATTGTACCATGATGTTGCTTAAAACAATGCATTTGATTTTAGTCATCATCCAGTTGGCCTTGTTGACTCATGGTTTTTTCTACTTTAGTGGAAGTATTTCATGAAAGAGTTGGTATTTCTGCTTCTACAAATCCAGATGGCTCTCAAACCAGGAGGCAGTTGGCAACTTTGGGAAAAGAACTTGGCATTGTGATTTTACATGGGTTTAACAATCTTCTACTCTTTTGTTATAGAGTACCATCTGAATAAATGGATTTGCTGCCATCTTAGACAATTTGTACAACTATAGCATCACCAAGGAAACATTTCCATGGGGAAAAGGTAAAATTTAAGAGGAAACACACTCTGAAGAATTCTGAGCTCATCTTTTATAAAAGCTACAAAGCAACCAGATCCACAAAGAAAGATTATGTGGTCAAATATGGCAGTAATGTCTAATCCTGATTACTGGTCTACTTCATAGTTGAGGCAGGACACTTAAACTCTACCTATCAGTTTCCCTTGGGCACTTAAGAAATCTCAGCTGTAATAAGGCAAGAATTCCATTAGGGTCAGGTTTTTTTTTTTTTTTTTTTTTTCCCCCCACAAGCACCCAGATTTGATTTGTGCCTGCTCTAAGTGTGTAATCTCACAAATGTCCGAGTAGCCTTTAGGGACAAGTGAAGCTGTCAGTTGGTCAAATTCAGACACAAAGGCACAGTTTCGTGCAAAGCTCTACCTTGAAAATGACAAGAAAATAATAGGGAATATAAAGGCATAGAGAAAGCAATTATTCAATCAAATATGTGATCAAGCAACAAATATTTCCTGAGCATCTGTTTTGTGTAAGACACCATGTCTCTGCTAAGAGAGTTGGGGCCCTTCCAACAGAGGAGTTATAACTGAGTTGAAAAGCTAAAACATTTTATATATATACACACACACACACACACACACACACATGCACACACACATACATATCTATATATATAGACACACACACACAAACTCATACACAATAGTTCAAGGTGGTCCACAATCAGTGTCAAGTGATTGATATGAGTTTAATGACCAATATATTTCAGAGGTACAAGAGAACATTTCTAATTAAGATGATCCAGAAGGCTTCTTACAGAGGGTAGGACTTGTACTAGGTAGGCACTGACAGTTGGATAAGACTTTGACAAGTGAAAGAAGAAGGGGAGCATGCTGGGAAAGGGAAATGAATGGTATGAGCATGGTGGTGAGGTAGGTAAGCACAGAGTCTTCAGAGAAAGGTAGTGGATCAATGTGGCTGAAATAGAAGACTTGTTTTGGGGAGTAGCACAAAATAGAAAGCTGAAAAGAGGAACCATGAGATCTGAGTTTGAAGGGATCCTCAAGATTATCATATCCAAGGCCTGCTCCTCTTATTCTTACTTAATTATTTTCACACAAACACAGCTTTCCCTAGTCTGCACCAATGTTTAACATACCTTTTAGTAGTGGTTCTAGATTCCTAATAACTTTAGACACAGTAACTTCAGCATAGTAGTTAGAAATAGACTTTGGAGTTAGAGGCCTGGTAAACCACTTGCTAGACATTCAACTTTGGGTAAGTTTATCCTTTATTTCTTCATCTAGAAATGTGGGTAATAATATACTCACAGTCAAGGGATGAAGAAAATGAGAAAGAAGGCTTGAAGGTGACAGTAAAGGAAGAAGAATCTGCAAAGTATATTACCAAGAAAAGCAAAAGTAGAGAAAATACAAAGAAGAGGGCACTGTTAATAGCATCAAATGAAACAAAGAGTTCAAGGTGGCTGTGACCTGCCAAAAGTCCACTGACTTTGACAATCTGAAGGTCACAGGTGACCTTTAAGAAATCAGTTTTAGTACAAAAGGAAAGAGGCAGTTTGTAGAAAATGGGAAAGATAGGAGGGATGGGAAAGGAAGGAAAAAAGTATGTGTAGTGTGGAACTGGATCTGCAAGCGAATATCCCTCCCTCATCTGCAGGGATGGAGAAGGAGAGAGATGGCTTTGACTCAGTGGAGCTACAGGGCCAAGTGATGCAATGACTGGACATGTAGCTTGGAAATGAAATGGTTGGTAGCTCCTGTGGGAACTTCCAACCCTAGCTTTCCTCTTTGCTACAGTGCAGGGAATGATGACAAAGGAAGAGGGAAGTTGCTACTCATGAAATATCTTCCCTCTTCCTTTTGTCTAGTACTGCAGAGGAAGAAAATAATATTATAAAGCTATCTGCCTATTTACAATATCACAAGATTGCTGCTGAACAATTATAAAAGACTCCTTGTATACTAAAATCTCATTAATTTGGACTACGTTAATTTGGAATTTGTGGTAATTTAACCTGGGTTGGAGTTACCTTTGTCCTACTAACAAAGAAAAGGTTCTCTAAGCAAATAGTGTGAACAACATTTCAAGGGAGCTAATTTAGCCTGCCAGGGGCTTATTTCACCTATTTTAAAGAACATACCGTTTTTTAAGAACTTCAGCATATTCATTATTTGAATGCAAATTGTTCTGCTAATTATAGATTAGCATAATCTACTGTTAAAATCCTATATCTGCAAGTTACTCTGCTCTCACTGAATATGCTCATTAGAAATAAAACTGCAATTCTTTGAAGTCAATTCACAATTCAGATTAATACATACTCCCTTTCCCCACCCTCATGAGTTAACTGCAGTTCAGGAGGTATTACCCTAAACTCGCACATCACTTAACATGAATACAATGGAAAAACTAGTAGGTGATCATAAAGGTCTCAGAGCCAAAAGACATGTCTTAAAGTTGATGTTCTAAATCCTGTGCACTCTATCCGTGGCAGGTTCCACTTAGAGCTGATTTAACTTTTACTTATACTAATCTGGCACATCAGCTTGGAGAGCTGGCTGGGTTTTGTTGTTGTTGTTGTTCTTAATTCAGTAGAAGGAGAAAAAGGGCTGCTACATGAAGGGATACTGAGAGGAATAAAAAGTGACTGTAGGCTGCAGAAAGGAGACAGGACATGTGTAAAACGTGGCTATAATAACTAAAAGACCACCGTGGCGTAGAACAATTTAGTGTAGAGGTAAAAAACCTATATTCTTTAGTAAATCCTTAAAAATTTAAAAGTATTAGAGTGCAGTACAATAACTAATGACTGGAATTATGCCCCTAAATGATCAAGCAAAGTTTAAATTATATTGAATACATGTCTTTAAAAGACAGATGAGTTTATACACATACACACATGTGGTTTATACTCATAATGCTGAGCCTAAAAATGTGAAACACATTGATGATTTAAAACATGAAATTTATAATATCATATAATAATGCTAATAAAATAGCAACATTTATTAAGTGATTACTGTTTGCAGACACCATGCTAAGCACTTTACCTACATCATTTCGACTAACTGTCATAACAAATCCTAAGACATAGGCTTTAGTATCACTTTTACTTTACAGTTGAAGAAAGTGAAACTCAGAGAGGTTAAGCAAATAACTCCAGGCCACAGAAAGAGATAAAACCAGGATTAGAACTCAGGCCAGTTCCTTGGCTATACACCATGCCTTTCCATGCTCCAGAAAATAGAGCTTTCTAAGAATCACTTATTTCTTGAGGGCTACATATAACTAATGTTTTACTGTATTTTTATTTTCCAAACTCATATTTAACAAATTATTTATAAGCAGCGATCTGTGATCTAAGAGTCAGAAATGATACGTTTGTAAACATGCTCCATTTCATAAGCTGAAAGTAAAAAGTAATAATAAAAAACAAAACAAAGAAAAAATGATGAACATGTCTGTTATGCCCATCCCCAAATCTCAGATGTTTCTGTATACTACAGATTCTACTTCCAAATGAATAACCATGCAAAGAGATAAAATTATAAAATATCAAATGATCAGTTAAGATCTGGCTCCCCTATTGTTTCCTCACTCCTTTTGGAAAAAAAAAAGAAAAGAAACATTAAGATGAGAATAGGCCAATGGGACATGAGGGATTGGGGTAGGAGAAATTGCAAGGGAGGCTAAAAGCTCAGTTGGGCTGTTATAGAGGGTTTAGAAGAATCTGTTTGCCAACTGTTCTAAGAGAATTATAACGGCATAAAACATATGTAGGCATAGTGGGTATTGAGGGGAACAGGGGTAGAGGTGGGCAGATGCAAATATATGCAGTTATCTGTATTAGAAGCAAAAGTGAGGATGGCCTGCCACATGTACATACAAAGACGAATGCATAGTGAAACCATTCACTCACGCAATTCTTTCTACCTAAATCGATGCTCTTTACTCATCTCTTGTCTCAAGCCTACCCATTCTTCAAGGATGAGCTAAAAATGGCACTTCTGCGATGAAGTATTCTATAATCCCTAAGGCAGAATTAAACTCTTCCTCATTTATGCTCTCATCGGTTTTTCGCCCTTTACACATTTGCCACAGCACTGATGATACTCTATCTAATTATCAGAGTTATTCGTGTATGTGCTTTTCCCTCCTTCAATCCCATAATGAATTCCATGAGGACAGGGGACTCTTTCTCATTTCTTTAGTTCCTACAAACCCTAGCATAGTATGTGACCTGCCACATACTAGGCTCTAGGAAAATGTTGACTCTGGCACTGGCTTAAGACAGTGCATTATCACCTAGCTTACCTGAAGGAGTATTTGTTCTCTTTCTTTTCTTGCTTGATTCCCCTCCATTCTCAATGAGGCCTTCTGTGACCAGAGGGCCACTGGCACTACCAAACTGCAGGGGCTCGTTGTTGTTGGCAGGGTCAAAGGGCAGCTGGTTCAATCCTAAAGAAGAAAAAGAAAGCCAAAGTCCAGACTCCATTAAGGACTGGGATCGTCTCCAGATTTTATTATATGAGCCACTAGTGGAAAACCTTTTAAATCTTAAGAGCGTAGGAGAAACAGGTGAATTCCTTAAAGACCTTCTGTAATTTTTACAGATCTTTTTGGTAAGTACAGAATTAAAATATAAGACTGTGGCTCTGTCATTTGTAAGATCCCTCCTGTTTCTGTGGCAACTTAACATTTTTAGCCATAAGCTAGCAACTGTCTTCTACTTCCTCCCTTAAGGAGATAGAACCCTCATTAAATGTGACTATGGTTGGACCCACTGTTCCTTGTAAAAAGCTTGGCTTTGCATTCCTTGGATTATCTCCTGACATTTTACCATTCTTTCATTCCAAGGTATGTTGAACTGATGCAGATATAATCATCAGACTATCCTGTGTCAAAGTCACTTCTGACAGTAATACAGGGGTCTCTAAAATCAGAAAACCATAACTCCATGGCAAATGAGAAAAGGAAACAAATATATAGAAATTGCAAGGGGGTTATTTAGTAGCTGGAGCAATGGGGAGTTATGACCTAGATTTCGGTAACGTTAATCTCGTTCTCTTCAAATAATATTAGAAGCATGATCACTTTACTCGTCACTGCTGCACCATATAAAATGGCGAAAGGTATTTTCTACTCTCCAAGTCTTACACGGTTCAATCAGGGGCAAGCAGAGACAGTTCTTACTCCTCTGGCAGCAGCACCTGGAATTTCAAGTGTTTCAATTAAACTTCATGAAATGTGAAATCAAAAGCTTTTTTAAAGCCCAAAGTTAAGACATCTCCTGTAAGCCTTTTCTCCACTGGTTCTCTAATCCTATCAAAGAGGGGGAAATCAAGTTGGCCTGAAAGAGCGAACTCTTTTTTTTTTTTTTTTTTGGAGATGGTCTCTTGCTGGAGTGTAGTGGTGTGCCGATCTTGGCTCACTGCAACCTCTGCCTACCGGGTTCAAGCGATCATCCTGCCTCAGCCCCCTTAGTAGCTGGGATTACAGGCATGTGCCACCATGCATGGCTAATTTTTGTATTTTTAGTACAGACGAGGTTTTGCCATGTTGGCCAGGCTGGTCTCAAACTCCTTACCTCAGGTGATCCACCCACCTCGGCCTCCCAAAGTGCTGGGATTACAAGCGTGAACCACCATGCCCAGTCCATAGCTCATGCTTTAACTCCCAAATTTTCTATGGCCCATAGCTGTACAATTCTTGAGGTAATGTTGTAAATTGTCAAAAAAAAAAAAAAAAAAAAAAAAAAAACCTTGAAATCCAGTCAGCTAAAGGTCAATCAAGTTTCAATAAAATGAATGCTAAGATTCTAATGAGCTGGCATGGTGGCTCACGTCTGTAATCCCAGCACTTTGGGAGGCCGAGGCAGGCAGATCACCTGAGGTCGGGAGTTCGAGACCAGCCTGACCAACATGGAGAAACCTCGTCTCTACTAAAAATACAAAATGAGCTGGGCGTGGTGGCGCATGCCTGTAATCCCAGCTACTTGGGAGGCTGAGGCAGGAGAATCGCTTGCACCCAGTAGGCGGAGGTTGCGGTGAGCTGAGATCGCGCCACTGTGCTCCAGCCTGGGCAACAAGAGCGAAACTCCATCTCAAAAAAAAAAAAAAAAAAAAGAAATGACATAAATTATTATTTATAATAAAGAGTATCCTCTTGTTAATGTTTTCAGCCCACATAACAAGTACTGTTTTTCAGCAATCAGACTCCACTTGGATCACCTCCATTAAATGTCTTCTGGGACTTGTCAAACATTCTTCCTTACATCATGTGAGTAACTAAGTGAAAGAATAAAACTTGCTTCTGGATCTTCAGTGAACTGTTCACTGCATCGTATACATGTTCTATTAAATCCCTACAATGACTAGAACTAAAGAAACAAACATCAATTGCTATGTACTAAAAAAAATTGAGATCATGACCAAGACTATTTAAAAAGAAGACTGGATATTTATTCCATTTACAAATGAAGATTCTTCTTGTACCTAATTAGTCTCAGAGTCAAATATGATTAATATACTAGTCCAAAACTTTTCTTGGAATTTCTGCAATATACTGATCAAAACAAGTTCCATGGAAGATAGAATGGCATAGTGGAAAGATCCTGACAGACAGAGATTCAAATCCTGGTTATCCTTTACTAAGTGATAGCTTTTGGCAAGTCATGTAGTCTCTCTTAGTCTTGGTTTCATAATGTATAACGGAGAGTGATAACACAACTAAGGCTGTGGCAAAGATAAACAAATACATATTTATGAGAATTACATTATTCGAAGTGAATTAAAACAAACTTTTCCCCTATAAACTTGAAAGCTCTTCTAAAAAGGAAACTTCCCTCTCTCCCTCCCTCCCATAATTGTATTCTTGGTGCCTAGCACCATATCTTGAGCACCCAAATGAATTAATCCTTAATTGGATGGGGATAGATGACTCAGTCTTTTAACCCATGTAATCAAAGACCTGACAGCTGATAATCAAGAATTAATGCTATAACTTAAAAGTTCTGAGGCTGATTATATAAACATTACTTAAAATAATTAGATTCTAAATGCATATCCGTCATTTCAGTACTATACTGCAGAATGGTAAAATGCTGATGAAAAGGAATGTTCAGGGATTAGGAGGTTCCGATTAATGATGGTTAATGAGAAAAACTTCTTATTTTTGTTTTGCATTTGATAAATGTACAGAATAATATATTAGTCCATTTCCCTGACTTATTAAGTAGATGACTGAGGATTTTCCGGATCTTCGGAGCCACAATTTGCAAAAGGATGTTAATAAGAGTACCTAACTCACAAGACTGCTAAAAATATTAAATGAAATTATATATGTAGAACATTCAACATAACATCTGGCACACAGTAGATGTTCAGTAAGTATTAACTACTACTATTATAATATTGAATTTCCATTTTTAATTTCTAGTTACTGATGTGCAATGTGAGGAGATTGTTCTGAATCTGCCCTGATCCAAGGATATACCCTGCTTTCTTCATTGAACCTTTTCATTCCTGTTTGTACCTTTTTCTAAAAGTTGAAGGAATCCAGGGGAAAAAAATCTAATGAGTTAAAGGTGTTCAGTCATAGACATCTTATTATAATTATGCTTGCCCTTTCTTTAGACCCATATGGTAACCTTAGGGATATAGGCATTTTATTAATCACACTAATGTACAGATTTCTGGCACCAAATAAGACTGAGATTTCAAGTACTTCCTGTGTATCCACCTCATATATGATCCAGATATGTGAAAATCATGACAATTCAGTACAACATTTCAGGCCTCATTTTTTTATAGAGAAAGATCTCATATGGAGGGGGGACATCTCACTCAGTAAGCTGACTCGCTGAACACAAACCCATATTTTATATAATCCAATACCCAATACAGTCTCCAAAGATCTGTAGTTCAAGAGCAAGGATGATAGAGACAGCAAAATCCTACAACACCAGTGCTTCCTAGCTACTTTTACTGTTTTGCTTCATTCCTTCCATAAGACAGCACCAAATAAACCAACAGGTATTTAAAGGGTCTTTTTTGTGTCATGTATACATGACCCAGGTCACATGCCATTTTAAGTAAACTAGCCCCATTAAAATGATTAAATATTAAAAAAGAAAACCACCACTTTAATTCCAAGAATTCTTATTGCTGAAATTTCAATTACGACATAAATGTAAAAATATTGGCAATTACCATATTGTAATCCTCACCCAAACTACAGAATTTATCTTTAAATCTCTTATGGAAGCAATTTCTACCATTTTTTCTAGATATGATGAAACTGAAAAATATCAGATTTGGAAGAAAGTTTTGAGGTTATCTAGTTCATTCTTCTATGCAAGACAGGAATTTTATCAATAGAATTCCTGACAGGCCTAAATCCAGGGGCACTTCTTAGCCTGGGACCCATTCCTTGCTGGGCTTCTAGGCATTCAGCTTGCTTTTAAAAACTACGACCTACTCTATTTTGGGAGTTCCTTTTATTTCCCTAAAACAGCTTCTTGCTTATCTTACCTAAAATGAAGACATAAGATGTCTAACTTTTAAAGGTTTCTACTGATAATCACTGTAAGAAAAACAAATGAGAGAGTAACAGATAACTAACAAAGTCAGAAATTGTTTAAAGTCTTATGCATTCCTCACAGTCCTTGCCCTTTTATTTCTGAGGATAAATTTAATAAAACCTCTTACTTCGTTCATTTGTTTTCCTCACATCTCCTCATTCCTCCAGCCCACAAAATTTACGGTTTGTCCAAAGGGAAGCACAAATTGTTAAAATAAAGACAAACAGGTAATAAACACGGGTGTTACAGATTTCTACCATTTCTGTATCTTATGTTCACAATAAACAAATCCATGTGGTAACGTAATCTCATCTAAAACCAAGGTGACTGGTGTAGACAGCTGACCAGCTGTTATTTCATGTCATGTTGAAATGCTGATTATCTGACTCCATAACACATATAAGGCTGCTTTAGAAAGTATGTATATTGGGAAAGGGTGGGGGTGGGGTTCCTTAGAGAATGACACTTCTCATCTAATGGAACTAGGGGGTTAAACATCTCAGAATGAAGTGTGATTCTCAGTGAATACTCCAATCTGCAGGTCAAGGAGTTCACACGCAATGTTATGTCTGCCATACAGATGCAAATGATTCGTGGGCTTTGAGGAAAGCACTAAAGAATTTTCATGATTCTTGTGTGAGAAGATCAATAATCTCTTTGTGCCCAGCTGCTGTAACAGTTACTGTCACAATTCACTTTACATAGCTGTCCACTATCAGGTCAAATTAGGACCAGCCTTCATGATGCAATCTAACACTTTTAATGATTGCCCCAGGTTGTAATACCAAAATGTGACCCTGTGAGTGTATGCTACTTTTTATCGGCAGCTGTGGCTCAGAGACTGTATAACCCTAGCAAAAAGAAACACAATTCCACC